CCCCCCCCCCCCCCCCCTCGAGCCGGTCCTCGACCAAAGAAAGGCCCCCAGCCAGGGGGGCGAGTCCGGAGCGCGCACATAGCAAGCACCTTCGTGGCCCCCACCCATTGCCCGATCTCCTTTCCCCTCCTACTTACCCTCCTTCTCTCTCTCTCTCTCTCTCTCCCTCTCTCTCCCCTCCCCCTCATTGCTGCAGCCATGCGAGGTGGACGTCGGGCCGGTGGCGGCGGTGGCATGAGTAGCGGCTCGCGCGGCACCACCAGCTCCAGCTCCAGCTCCGGGTCCTCTTACCGGCGCCGGCAGACTTACTCCTCGGGCGGCAGCTCGTCTTCCTCTTCAGACTCCTGCTGCTGCCCGCCCGAAGCCTCGCACAATTTGTTCTGCTTTGTGTTTTTTTGCTTTTGCATTACGGACATCTTGTGCGTTGTTGTTTCCTGTTTTGCCGCTCCCCCCCTTGCTCCCACGTTTCCCATGGGCCCACTGACCGGACCTCCTGATGGCTGGGGCTGTCCCCGGCATCCCCGCATGGGTGGCGGGTCTACCGCGGCGGGGTGCCCAGCCACCGGCCCGATTTTGTGCACAGGCACCGGCGAATTTGCGTGGCGGCCTTTTGGATAGGGCTTCTGCTGACCCCGGTGGCCATGTCGGTGTGCCTGTCGACGGTGCCGCTGTACACATCGCGGTCTTGGTCTTTCCAGCCGTCCGGCACCTTCAAGACAAGTGTCCATCCCTTCTTCTATGAGGAGGTGAGCCCGCTGTCCGGGTCGTCGGTCGAGACGTACCTTATCCCGGCGTCCGAGGGCCCGGTGAAGCGGGTCAGCCAGCTGACCGGGGACATGGTTTCCGAAATGAAAAGCCCCTCATCGCAATACTACCGAGCGATGGAGGTCTACCTGCCGGCCGGGTCGGAATTGGTGTCGGTCCTGTCCGGGGATGTCCCCTGCCCGTTGGATTACATCATCATCCGGGGGGACAGTAACTTCGAAGACTGGGCGAGTGGCTACAAGGTGCCGGAGGAATTCCACGGGATCGTGTTGCCGAACCAGCCGCTACTGCACGTGCTGCTGACCGGCACCTCGGATACCTTCTTCTTCGTGGTGTTCAATGACTCCAACTATCCCTGCCCCAAGCCGCCGCTTTTCATGCAGCTGTCCTTGAATGCGCCGGCGTATCGGCTGCCGCCGAGCCATCGTCTGACCCGCGGCCAGGCGGCCCCGGTGCCGGCCGACCACCGTGGCAAGGCGTCGATCATCTTTCACACCCCGCACGAGCTGAAGTACCACGACGTGCAGGTGAAATACTCCAAGCGGCCGGGGTCTTTGGGGCTGGTGCTCGGCCTGGGCATCAGCCTGCCCTTCGTGCTGGGGCTGATTGTCATGTTCATCAGCTGGGTGGTGTACCGGGTGGAGGCCCGCCGGAATTGGCGGCACATCGGCGGGCACACCTGGGTCCGTCTGGATGGAGGCGCCGGCAAGGTGGCCACGGAGCCCCTTTTGGCTGGGGGGAGTGCCCCGATGACGAGCGAGCCATCTGACGACATCAGCTCGGCCTCGAAAGTGGCCAAGACCCCGAAGCCGGTCTTTCTCGACGGGCCGAGGGCGCCGGCTGAGTCCAGGCGTTTCTCCACCTCCTCGGCGGACCCGATTCCCACATGGGTTTTCGGCGGGGAGGAAAGTACCTCGGCGTCGGCATCCTCAAGCTCGCTGGCCCTTTCCGAGGCGGGGTACGACAGCGAGCTGACGTCGTCTGTCGTGACGCCCTTCCGGCCGGCGGACGATCTCCACTTGGCCCATGTGGCACCCTACCAGGCCATGGACAATGTGCCCCTGGAGCAGGTCATGAGGGAGGCCCCGCCGTCGTACTCGGCCACGGTGCTGCCCTCGTCCACCGATGGCTGGTCCAAGTACTGAGTGATCGTTGGTTCCTTTTTTTTTCTCCACGTCCAGGCCCCTGCTCTTAATTTACTTGTCTTCCGACGGTTATGGGGGCCTACCCTGGCGGCACCCGTGTACTGTGGGCTGGTGGCGGGGGTGCCTCGTGGCTGCCCTTGGACGGAGGCCCGGCCATGGTGTCCATGGGTCTGGGCGGCCGGCGGCAAGGGCCAGGCATGTATGGGGGTATCTGTCGATGGGTTGGTGGGGCGGTGATCATGGCAGATGACCACCCTCTGGGTCCTCGCCGCCGGGCGGCCCTGGGCTCGGCAAAGCTCCCGGGCCATGGTTGAGGAGGCTATACAAGGGCTTGGGAGCAGCCTGGGGATCTTTCCGTCAGGGGTGCCTGGACGTGTATTTTGTGTTTGCGCGCGCGCGCGTGTGTGTATGCATGTATGTTTGTATGTGCGTGCGTGTGTGTGTGCATGTTTGTATGTGTGTCTGTATGTGTATGCATGTTTGTATGTGTGTGTCTGTGTGTATGCATGTATGCATGTATGTATGTATGTGTGTCTGTGTGTGTATGCATGTTTGTATGTGTGTGTGTGTGTGTATGCATGTTTGTATGTGTGTGTGTGTGTGTATGCATGTTTGTATGTGCGTGTCGAAAGGGGGTCCTCAAGGATGCGGCGCATGGAGCACCGAAACGGAGAGGGCACACCTCTCGCCAGTGGCTCGGACCCCGAACCACTGGCGAGAGGTGTGCCTTACTCGAGGGAGGGAGGCGGGCTTGCGAGATTCGTGATGGCAATAGCACCGACGGGCATCCCGAGCAGGCCGATCCAAAAGCCGAGGGCGACCGGCACAATGGAGGGAGCTCGAGGGGATTGAGTGGCCGCTGGCAGGACATGCCCCGAGACAGCATGCTCTGGGGGACCGCCTTCGGGAGCGGCTCGGGAGCTCTTGCATGTCGCACTTGCCAGGCCGTCGAGGGTCTTCCGGGTAGGGGGGTGTTCGGCCCCGGCCATGGTGGCCCAGCTTTGGGGCCATGCCCATCTCACGGGAGGGGATGCCCTCCGCACTGGGATAAGGAGGCCCCGGTCGCGAGCAAGCCGGCTGGCGGGCAGAGGGAACCACCGCTCCCAGGCAGGCGCCTCGAGGCGGATAGAGGGGTGGTGGTTCGGCCACTGGCGCCGGTGCCCGGGGCGGGGGCGGGCTTTTGACCGGGTGGCATGCTGGGAGGGCTGCTGCATCGATGAGACCCGCCAGGACCCCGGGTGAAGAGAGAGAGAGAGCAAGCTCGGCACGAATGAGGCTCCGCCAGACGAAGAAAACAAGAGGCACCTCGGCTGGACGCAGGGAGGTCCCGTGGCCGGGAGGGTTCCAAGCCGGTGGCGGGAGCTCCCGAGGGGAGGGGGGCCTGGGCTCACCGTCCGGGCAATGCCGGGAACAATGGCCGATGTTCGGAACATTACCAGACCCACATTCTTGCGGCCACGAAGGTGCTGGCGACCGGTGCCGATTGCGGCGCCAGATCATCCACGAGGCGCGGATGGCCCGGGGATGTAGGCACGGCGGGAGCCATGGTCTTGGAAAAACGCCACTGCTCGCCGAGCGGAGGAGATCAGTCGGACGGGAAGCTCCGTGGGCCGTTGGTCCCGCAGTCCGACCATGCAGGGACCGGGATGCCCAAGGGCCGAATGATGGCCACCCGTAAGGGCGAATGGCCAGCATGGGCGAGCCCCCGGCGAGGGAGGATCCGCTATCCGAGCAAAGGGCGGATGCTGACCTGGCGGCGCCATTCCACGGCACGGAAGACACTTCCAAGCATCCCGAGAGCAGGTAGCGAGGGAGGCGGCGAGGGTGGAGGATGTGCGGCGGAGTGGCTGAGGATCTACTCGGGGAGGGGGGGCCCCCCTTCGAAAGCCACACATCCACCCGGGGCCGGCAGGGGGGAGCGCGCGGGCACACCAAGGAACCGACGCGGCGCCGCCTTCCGAGTCCATAGGGACACGTGCCTTTGATGGTCAGACGACTTGACTGGGCAGCATTCGCAATTCGGCCATATGAGCTGCGCCTTGGGTTGTAAGCCGCACTGGCCCCGCTGTTCGGCCGGCCGGCCGGCCGGCGAGCCGTTCCGATTTATGTCGCATGGTGGGAGGGACGCCGGGCAGGATGGCAGCCTGGAGGCTGGTGGGAGTGAGTCCTACCAGGGACCCAGATAAAGCCACACACGCGAGTGGGCCCGCCCGTCGGGGAGATGCTCCATTATGCGCCCCGGCCGAGCGGTCAGGGCGGAGGCCGGGCTCGCATCCGGAGGCCTCCCCCGGACGAAGACCATGGCGGCAGAGCGCCGAGAGGCGTATGCGGCAGTATTGTCGAAGGGCCCGCCGGACCCGGCGACCGCCTGATTTTTGGCACCCTCTCGAAGCTGGGCTTTTCGAAGGCCGAAGTGGTGGGGCCATTTACCCGGACACTTGGCCCCCTTCATGCCAAGGGGAGCCACCCTTCCTCGGGGCAGTGACCCCCGGGAGCAGCACGCTTGCCTCATGGATCGAGGGATGTGGCGACAACGGCCGTGGATCTCTTCGCATCGGGGCGGGGCGTCCTGGTGCCGGAGGGTGGATGGGATGCAAGCTCGCTCGGGCAGTGCGCCCGAGCTGGGGATGAAGGGCTGCTGCGCCGGCCATCCTCGGGCTGCGGTTACTCGGAGAGGCCGCCACTGGCCACAAGCGCCCCCTGGGGCGGGGAAAAATGCTCCTGTATCGGGCGACCGGGCTCGGGCTTCAAAGGGGGCCGGTCGGCCCTGGGGTAGACCATGCCGGGGCCGGACGTGTGGCGATGCTCACAGCTGCCGCCGGTCGACCCCACACACATGGCGTCCGGAGTCCACGGCCACACCTGGCCACCTCACCGGGACAGTCCCACCCCTTCGGGGTCGATGCCGATGCCGATGCCGGTGGCAGGCATATCCGCAGCCCCGGCCCCAGGGAGAGGCGGGACCCTTGGTCGGCCGGGTGGCACGACGCTCGGCCGGGCCAGAGCCCACATCGGGGGGCCTCTGGTTTCTGTTCCCTCCCCCCCCCCCCCCCGGCGGGGGGACCACCCACCGACTGGATCACTCGCGCCCCGTCCTCGCCCCATGATCCCACACCATGGATCTGTGTATGAGTGTCGCCGGTCGGTGGGGGAAGGAGACAGAGAGGCGGCGCGGGGTGCCGAGCACCTTCGAGTGGGGTGTGTATTAGGACAGGTGCTTTGCCCGGGGGGCGCATCTGCCCGGACACGCGGGCCCCCCCCTCCCCAGGCCCTCCGGGGCATCCACCCCCCGAAGAAGGGCCCCGTCCGTGGCTAAGAGGCGACCGGGAGGCCGGCTGCCTGCTTGGCACCAGGGAGGGAGCCCTGCAACGGGAGGGCGGGGAGACATTCCGCCGGGGAGGCCGCATGTCGCCCTCGGTCCCCGGCGGCCGCCGTGGCCCGGGCCGGGTCATTCGTCGGGGGTGCTGCTGGGGGACGGCGGGCAGGCAAGGCCATCGGCGCTGAGGGTGTGGCCCGGGGCGCAGGCCACACACTGGACGGTGCGCTGGGCCGGGTCGTGGGGGTGGCGCACGAAGCAGCTGAGGCAATGGGCCGGGCAGGGGACGGCATAGCGGGCCTTTTGGGTCTGGTAGAAGAGCCCCCAGCCGGGCTGGGTGAGGGCGTCGGCGGTGCACCGGGCGGGCGGGGCCACATCGAAGGAGCCCGGGTGGAGTTCCTTGACGCGCGGGATGCTGAGGGGGCTGGCGGTGCACTGGAGGCAGCCGACGCCGAGGCCGGTGCTGCAGGTGCCGCACCCGCCGCCGCAGGGGAGACACTGCTTGGAGTGCTTGTAGTAGCCCTCCGGGCAGGTGGCGAAGCACTGGGTGCCCTGGACCAGGGCGTGGCCGAACTTGCAGGCGGTGCAATTGGTGTTGCTGGTGCAGGTGGCGCAGTTGGGGTCGCGGCAGGGCTGGCAGCGGCGGTTGTTGTCGAGGAAGAAGCCCTCCGGGCACTGGGCCGCGCAGTACACGCGGGCCCCCTTCTCCCGGGGCATGACCTGGTACATGCCGGACTTGCAGGAGGTGCAGTTGTTGGTGTAGAGGGTGCAGGTGTCGCAGTTTTCGTGGCACGGCCGGCAGCCCTGCTCCGCGGGCGGCAGGTCGAAGTCCCAAGTGGCGCGCGAGCCGCAGGGGGAGTAGCAGTCGTCGACCTCCAGGCGGTAGGAGGGGAAGCAGCGGTAACAGGAGAAGCCATCGTCGCAGAGGGCGCAGCCGGCCACGCAGGGCATGCACACGCCCTTGTTGTGGAAGAAGGTGGCCGGGCAGGTGTGCAGGCAGTTGTTGTCGTGCAGGTTGAAGGCGGAGCTCTTGCAGGCCAGGCAGATGCCGGGGTCTTCGCTGGCGCACTGGGCACACTTGGGGTCGGTGCAGGGGGTGCACCGGCCGGCCGGCGAGTCGCGGGCCGTGCCCAGTGGGCAGGTGTCGCCGCAGGTGCCATCCGGCCGGGCGAAGAAGCCCCGCATGCAGGCCAGGCAGATGGCCGGGTCGGTGGGGTCGCACTGGCGGCAATTGGGCCGGCAGGGCAGGCAGGCCCCGGCGTCGGTTTGGACCGTGGTGGCCGGGCAGGTGACCGGGGCGTCGGGGTCGCCGTTGGCCCGGTAGGGCCGGGTGCAGGCGCCCACCGGGACCGGGCCCTGGGGGAAGGTCTTGGAGCTGTGGGCCAGGAGCAGGCGGCCGGCCGGGCAGCGGGTGCAGTCCTTCGGGCCGGGGCCGGCGCACTCGTCGCACGAGGCGTGGCACTCGAAGCAGATGCCGGGGCGGCTGCACTTCAGGAGGTGCGCGTGCTCCGGCCGGCCGGGGGTGTCGTCGGTGCTGGGGACCTCCGGCCGGGCCATGGGCCAGGCATCGCAGTCGAAGGTGTCCGGGACCAGGTGCCGCGGGATGCAGTGGGCCCCGCAGCGGACATTGCCCGGGGTGGGGCAGTCGCTGACGCAGCCCCGGTCGAGGGTCAGCCAGTGGCCCGGGGCGCACTGGGCGCAATCTTCATTCAGGTGGGGGTGGGCCATGGCCAGGCAGCCGGGCAGCTCCAGGGGGCCCGGCCGGCAGAGGCCCTGGCCGGCGGCCTGGAACCGGCAGACCGCGCACTGGTTGTGGTTGCCGGGCACGACGTTCCAGCAATCGGCCGGGCCGATTTGCACGAGGCCCGTGCTGGACACCGCCTTGTCGGGCAGCTCGCTGTCCAGGTAGGCGTATCCGTCGACCAGGCGGAATTCGTGGCTGTACTGCAGGCACCGCAGGTCGCCGGCTTCGTAGCGGGCCTGAAGGCAGCGCCGCAGGCCGGGGAAGCAGTAGCCCCCGTTGCGGGCCTCGCCTATGTCCGGGCCGGGCGGGGGGGGGGGGGGGGGG